GTAAAGTTGTTCTGCTTTTTTCCATTTAGGCTTTCATCACCTTTGTGTTGATGAACATCCTGTAAAGATAATTGAGGCGGTCTTCTGTTGTTTCTGTATTAAGTAACGTACCTTCACTTGAGAATACACAAAGCAACGACCCTTTTTGTAATATTAGCCAAGAGGTAATTTCACTAATCACTAAAATACAGTAAGGTGCTACCTCATGCTTCCCAGCTCCACAGTATTCATCCCCATAAAGCTGATTATTCAAAAGATAAACATGACTATTACATTTTAAAATGGTGAATCCAACTGATCGCACTCACATAGGCTATGCGACATTGCCTATGTTGCTGCTATGTATTAATGATGACTGTCAGAAGGCTAGAAAAATATTCTTATGTCTTCTTATAGTTTCCCCAAAATCAGACGCAAAATTCTGATGGGTCCAACTCCATATATATTTGTGGAAGAGTTGGGGCAGAAATTGGGATCAAGATGAAAAAATGGTTTTAAAACAATCATGGCTGAAAACATGCAAAGATTTGGAATGTGTTAAATGTGTTAAAAACAAAAAAACAGAATATAAACCATTTATTACTCTTAAGGTTAAACTCTGAAACTATGGTTACCAGGCTATGAATGCCACAAATTTTAAGTAACCAACTAAAAACAAAGCCGATAACCCTACTAATTAACGCCTGAGATTTCCATGATATACCCCTAAGAGTCACACAGATTTAGTCTGTGTCATGTGAGAGTTTTAGTTATAGATGCAAGTCACAATATGGGGGGGAAATTCACTGTTTGGAAGAGGGCTGCGCTCTCTGAATGCTTTTCTAGTAATGGAGTACTTTTCTTCTTTTTGCACATAGTTAACTTTATAAAATATTGATTCTTTTGGAAAACATCTAGAAATACTGACGCAGAAGTTCATGTGTGTCCAAAAGAACATGCTGATAATGAGGCAACATGCAGCAGGACACTGTTTGAGAGAGAAATAGATGCAGAATTAGTTTTTTTTCTCTCCAGAAGATATTTGTGCTTGTTATATGTATTTTCTTTATACATTTCATGTTTTATAGTAGTATTTATAAACATAAAATAAAAGGGAAACCCTTCTATATTTACCTAAGATGGTCATAGCTTAGGAGTCCTACTTGCTCACGACTGGTGCATTTATTTAAGGCCTGTGTGGTCTAAATTTTAATTTAGCTTTAGTAAAAAGAGTCAGTGTAGATCAGCCCAAATTCAGTTTGGTACGCTGCTCAAACTGAAAATGAATATACTTGTAAACAATGCTAGCCAGGACTATTAGCGTACATGGACTGCAGACAGAGCTAATGGGGATTAAGAAAAAAATATCTTTCAAACTGAGCATTAATGGAGTTCTAATTAATTTGTGCTAGTAGAAATGGCTTTTATAAAAAGTAAAAATAAGAAAATTTAATTTAGAATATGTAACAAAACACTTTCTGACAAAAAGAAGCGTAAAGTGACAGATGGATATGTAAAGATTATAGTTCCAGAACTGAGTAAAGACATTTCTTTATGCATTTTTAGCTAAATAGCATATTTTGTACTTCTCCCAATCCTTCCCTGAACAGTTGGTAAATAGAATAATTACTGGCTGGTCAGTGTAGTGTGAAATGACAGCATGACCACCCCACAATGAAACACTGCCCTAATGCTGACAGAACATGATGAGCACATGACTGTCTGAATACAAAATGTTCCCTCACTGCGTGGGGGAGATAGAAAACAGAAATAGGAGGGAATTTTTTTGTGCACAAAAGAAAAATAAAGGCAGAGCAACGGGGAAGAACTGAAAAGTATTCCTTCACCAAACTCGTGCTAAAGTGATCTTTTCACCCCATCCAAGCAACTATGGAAAAAAGCTAATCTTTATAAATGTAATCATTTGGAAAAAATTTGGGGACTAAAGAGTGTGGAGCTGAATTCAATAGAGCAGGAGCTGGGAGACGTCAGGGTGGTCGATGAGGTCACTAACCATCATACAACAGTGGTCACCACACTTTTATATTTCCCTAGAAGGACTCTGTAACCCACAGTGCCTTGCTAAAGTATTTATACCCCTTGAGCCTTTTGGCATCACCTCCAATACAACAGAATTCATCTTATACCTGTATATAACACCTGCATTGGTTACGCTATTGAAGAAAATTCTTGATTGGATATCGTGACAATGGGCCTGATCCAAAGGGTCAGATCTATTAAGCCTATTTCTATGTTGGAATGGAGACTACATGCGCTAGTGAATCTGCACAAAGTGTCACATTGTGAACAAAATGGAGCAGCTGAAATGCTCAGTTTTCGGAAACTTACTTCAGCCACTTTTGAAGACTAGGTGCAATAATTCTGCTATGTGGAAATATTTTCATGTACCCCTTGCAATATCCTTGCAAACCACTAGGGGTACGCCTATCCCTGGTTGGGAAACACTGATTTCGCTTCACATTGTCTTGACATTACCCTTAGTTGCGCATCCCCTTTTAAAAATCCTGGATCCGCCCCTGCAAATCCTCAGATCCCTTTTTAAATCAAGCATTCTATCCACACTTTCTTCATATAGCCTGCTCCCAGGACATATTTGAACATGGTATTTTAAGAATACTGCAAAAATATAATCTGGAAGGAACATTCTGCATATAAACGTGTTTTCCATTATGTGTGTTTTAAGTCAATCTTGTGAAATTTATTGTAGGGATGTGCTAAAAAATGCAAGTTGACGACATCCTCACTTAATGATGAAAAGAAGTGAGAATTGGTGTTATGAAGCTGCATATTTAACAAGTTCCCACATACCCTGACAATGTTAGGGTGGCTGTGGGCGCATGTTGAATAAAACTGGTATGCTTTCTGACAACAGGTGGGGTCTGAGCTCTGTTTTCCCACAGGAATCAGAAGCAGAAATGCTTGGCAAAATCTGCCACTGGAAAAGGATCGTCTCTTTCAGAGTTTTACTAAACCCGATCACAAAAGCGCACACAATCCTGCAAATTGTAGATGTTCCCTCCATCAACTGATCTATTCTAAACAGGTGGCAAATTAACAGACTTCTTTACAATAACAGGCAACCCACTCAGGTCATTAATTCTTCTGAAGTTGTCCCAATACTCAAATTGAGGAGTCAAAAATCCTGTTACTTTGATAGGCAGGTGAGGTAGGGAGATAGAAAGGAAGGATTTTCCTGAAACAGATGCTAGAATCTGGTAATTAGACGACAACAGCCCAGCAGTAGCAGCACACAGAGCTTTTAATTTGTTTTGTATCCTGTCTGCCACGCTGTCACCTTTTGTTTTTTCTCTAATCAGAACCAGCAAATTGCTACACAAATAAAATAAATGTGTTGGAAGCCGCTTCAGTGATGCCACCCCAAAGAGCGTTTTTTTAATAGACTGTTGACACAAGGGGAAATGTAAGGGCTACTACGGTGCTTAGTGTAAAATGTTAGTCTGAAACCAAGGTACAAGCTATTCTGAAACTTAAAGAACTCATTCTCAGGGTCCAAACTAATATCTAAAAATGATGTCATCAAAAAAGTATGTTGAAACTAACTGAGTGACTTTTAACAAGATCTTATACCATGATATCTATATCTTGATACCTTATCTAATCGTCGCCTTCATTTATTTTGAGGTAATTCTGTTACAAGTTTTCCAGATGAAGCTTAATCTAACCTTTAAAACAAACTAAATGTCTCATCAGTCAGTATAACATTTCACAGAGGCAATCTAAGACAAACCAAATGTTCCTCTATTATCCCGTGGATTCCCAATGCTGTTTTTCTTCTCAAACTAATGCTTTTAGATCAGATTTCTGACAGCATGTTCTTTGGGGTGTTTTCTGTGTAAAGTGATGCAGCTGCTAGAAATGCTGCACTGGAAAATATCTATAACCTTACAGAGAGTTTGATAAGCATGTGGGCAATCAGAAGTAATAATGCTGACTAAAGAAGTTGGGTTTTTAATTGATCACACTGAGACTCTAAGTTGTGTGTTTTCATGAGTTTGGTAAGATATATAGCATATATACTATGTACCAATGGCCTGATTTGGACAGTGTATACACTGCCACAAAGATCATGGGATGTTTATTATAGTTGCTTGATGAGATTCTATTCACTGTGGTAGAAGGATGTGATGCTTAGAGCAGCGAATCGCTCAGAAACCATAAAAATAAATTAGTTGGAGCATTACCAGCCCATTCTGGATGAAGTTGTACTTGAGCATTAGGCCAGACCTGCTCTCAATTCTTTAATGACAATGCAAGCTGGGCCTTAGTCATGAAAAAACCAACACTTCTGGTTCAAAGCTCCTCCATGGTGCATCCTGGATCCTGATGCACTTCCACAACCATATCAAAGGCTTTGGCAAATTCACTATTAAAGGTTTCTGCATGCTGCAAACAATTGAGAAGGTTTATGGCTCCCTGATGGCTGATGGGAAGCTATGTTAAAGGCACACTAATGACCATTAACATTCTTTTTCTTGAAAGAAGGTGTGTTTTTGTTTTAATGTTTACTAAACTATCTAAGGTTCAAAAATCTCATTTAACAAGTTGTGTCTTTTTGAGTAACTGAGGCTTTTGTTTTGACATTTCACCACGATTTTACAACATATTTATACAAGAATTAAAAATAAGGAATGCTCAATGTTAATTTGACATCTGAGTCACAATATGATAATAAAAGAAATGAGGAGTGATAATAGTAAATTATCACCCAGTCTCACAACTGTGAGCAAAACTGTTTAACACGCAGCTGGAAAGTGTAGAGTCCACATTAACGGACCACTAGCATTGCAAATAGCCTGCAAGGATTTTTGTCTTGTTAATTATGTTTTCTTTTCTGAAACTGAAATCAGCTGTTAGCAAACAAAAAGAAACACATCTAAATTGCAAATAAGATACTTCATACTTATTTAGTATTACTGATGTAATGCATCAGAATAAAACACCTTTGCAAATGGAGCACCTCAAATATATTCAGTATTTACCGTATCAGGGCTTCGGTTTTAGTTGCAGCTTCAAAATACTGTTCAGATGTCTGCTTGTAGTTCTCAAAGCTCTGCAGGGGGAGAAAAAAAAGAGACAAAAAATGTGAGAAATTAGTCAAAATGTCCAAGAGCTCAAAGATTATGTGCAGTGCACAAAGAACTTCATTAAAGAAACTGTTTCCTGGGTTTAACATTTTCGATTTGAGGTTGCACCGTTATAAAGCATAAAAATATGACTATGTCAAACTTCAAATTGAGTTTAATGAATTAAACCTTCACAGTTTGCATATCTACATAACATTAATAAAGTTCTAATCACTTTTGCGGCTTTAATTGAAGCATTAATAGGATAGAAGTGATGAGCAAAATGCAGAAAGAACCACTGAAAATGTCACATTCCATAAATTAGTGACCTTTGGATTTTACAGCCTGCTTACAAATCTGAATATCGACGCTCTGGTGGTACTCCATAATGTTTTATTTCATTCGAGAAACCCTGGCATTTAAATTGCAATTACAACCCAGATGCAGCTTGTACCTGCTGGGCAAAGTCATAATCAGAACACTTTTACCTGAATAATCAGGTGGTCACAGTGTTAAGCACAATCCATAGTTGATAATGCGCTGGATAAGATGGAAAAAATGTGCAAGATTTGATTTCTGAAAGCAAAATTCAATGTCGGCTGCTCACGACGATCACCTTAGAGGCTTAATGTCAAAATGTATGAGAAGCTGTGCCTAAAAGAACCCAAACACGAACCTAATCTCACTCGCCACCCTCTCATACACATTTACTGCAGTAATCACCATTTTAAACCAATAACCGCAGCTCTCAGGCCATTACTTAATAACTCCCTATATTCCCAATAGATGAGGTGATAGGAGAGGGAGATAATTGAAGTGACTGTGCAGGGAGGAGATGGGATCAAACACAAACCTCCCCCACAATCCCTGGCCTTCCACTCCTTCAGTGCCTGCAAGTCCTTTTTTTCATATCTCATTATTTTAGGCTCATCTGCAGACAGGCTTGCCCAGCTTTGAATGGCTGGTGTTGGAATAGACTCAACATATCCTCACAGGCATTTTTCATTTAATCTGTTCTGCTTCTATTCTTTGCGATGTAGTTATCTGACCCTGTATCGTTTCCTTTCTTATTCATTAAAGCAATAAGACAGAAGTCATGCCCATTTTCAGATCAACAAGTAATACTCTAGGCTGTGGTACCCTCCTGCTTTTTCAAAGGGATTATGGTTAAAGAAGACAAAAGCGATAAATATGACTATTCTAAAATATAAAAGAACTACAGTTTTACCTTTTTAATAAATCAAGTCATTTTTTTCCATTCATTCATTCATTAATTTCCGACACGCTTAATCGCAAGTGGGGTCGCGAGGGATGCTGGTGCCCATCTCCAGCTGTCTACCGGAGAGAGGCGGGGTACACCCTGGACAGGTCGCCAGTCCATCACAGGGCAACACAGAGACAAACAGAACAAACAACCATTCACACACACACTCACACCTAAGGAGAATTTAGAGAAGCCAATTAACCTAACAGTCATGTTTTTGGACTGTGGGAGGAAGCCAGAGTACCCGGAGAGAACCAACGTATGCTCAGGGAGAACATGCAAAATCCAAGCAGAAGGACCCCAGGCCCGGAATCGAACCCAGAACCTTCTTGCTGCAAGGCAGCAAAGCTACCCACCGCAACACTGAGCAGGCGTCATTTTTTTTTCCTCAAAAAAAAAAACAAAACATCACTCTACATTGCTCAAAAAAATTACACACAAAAACTCTGGACACAGAATCACACACAAAATTTAAGTGGAACACAGACTATAGACAATCCCCACCCCAATGCAGGGGATAAAACGTCGCGCCTGGGCAGCCAAGCCAACAATTGGCCTGAACGACAACCCTTTCAGAGACATAGCCCAGTATCAGGTATTGCAGGCTAACAAAGAGCCCAAAACGACTCCCCATTCCTAAGGGGCGGACCCGTTCTTCTGGTTCAATTTGCATGTTTTCTAAGACAAACAAGTTTTGGGGCTACTAGGCTACTATATAAAGCTTCAAATTCAATGCTAATTCTGCCATTTTGAATTGAAAAAGCTTCCTGGATGGGAAGCGAAACATCTTCAAACTTGGAAACAAAGTCCTGTGGATTGTTTTTTAAAATTTTTTGGAATGACTATAACCTGGATGGCTGAGAATCTTCACCAGCATACGACAAGATACAATGTTCCCTCTAATTTATCATGTGTCTGAGCATACACAAAAACTCCCTGATTACACTGAGGACCACTGTGAGCAACATCAGATGTGCGTGCGGAGGCCATACACCACTTTTTATAAACCCGGGATCACAGTAAGTTACATGGTTTATGAAAAGAATAAGAGATTATAGTAACAAGTTCTATTAGTTTACTTTTAATTTAAAATAAAAATAAAAACCTCCATGAGATGTTTAGTATGCTAAATGTAAGAGTCCTGCTTTGGTGAGGATGAGGGTTGAAATGTGTGCTGAAGCTTGTGATACGGCATAAATTCCTGTAGCTCTTTGTCCGTTGTTTTTTATATTTCACAGTTTTAGCGTTTCTACCATAAATTACATAAAAATGGTGTAACTGTATAAGAATTGCATGATTAATATCCATAAATAAAGAAAATAATGTCACCAGAATAGGATCAAATCATACTAAATCTCTTTTTTTCCACATCAATCCTTCTCACTTATCCAACGGATGTCCAAATCTGTCACTTCAAGAGTTTTCTGGATACTGTTTATATATAATTAATTAAACCAAATCTTCTATCACAATCAGCACTGGATGCTTGACATGTAGCACACATATTCAGAAGCCATGAGATCTCCTTTAGTTCCTTACATCTAGGTGCTGCAGACACCATATCTGAGATCTGCTGATCGACCCCTGTTTATGTTTTTGCTTCATCATTAACTTGAATTTAGCAAAAGAAAAAAAGTCAGAGCATCACGCTGTGCTGTGAACAGGTGTGACTTAAACTGTGTGCATGTTGGATAGCAGGGCTGTTACAAACCGGTGAGTTTCATGGTTGTGGAGGACTGATAAATAGTTTAGGCGCCACATATTCTTCTTCCAGCTGGATTATTTATTTATGCATCTGTAGCTCTCTTTGATGCACTGATGCACAAAGGATGCTTGTTGAACTTTTTTATAAATGGACACTGGTGTTTAATTAAATATATTCATCCAAATATAAGTCTTCAATGTATTCATATTTATTATAAAACTGATTTGATGGCGATTTTCTAAACTAGGAGCAGATGATGGGCCAGATCAGCTAGTTATCAGACAAGCAGGCTGGTATGCCGCATTAATGCAGTAATTGAGGCAAAAGGAGCTCCAACCAAGTATTGAGTATTGTACATGCTCATATTTTTTTAATTTTCATACTTTTCAGTTGGCCAACATTTCTAAAAAATCAATTTTTTGAATTAGCCTTAAGTAATATTCTAGTTTTGTGACACACAGAATTTTGGATTTTCATTTGTTGCCACTTCAAATCATCAAAATGAAATGAAATGAACATTTGAATGCATCAGTCTGTGTGCAATGGATAAATATAATGTACAAGTTACATCTTTTGAATGCAATTATTGAAATAAATCAAGTTTTTCAAAATATTCTAATTTACTGGCTTTTACCTGTATATATCTAATTTAGAATGGGAAGATAAAATAAGTGTTCTTGATCTCTATATAATGTAATGAAATTCAGGAGAAAACATTTTTTTTCTCGTATTTTTATTGTTGGTTTTAAGTTGAAAAATAAATGATAAACTAATCAAACTGATACAGATAAAAATATATCGGATTTTTCAAAATTGTATCTGCGTGAACCCAAAGTTTTACGAACCGAGATTCGACCAGTTACCCACAATTATCCCCATTTAAAATCTGGCACGGACCTGTAAATAAGAAAGTGCGACCCGACTCGTCAACATAAAGTGTACACAGCTGTTTGCACTTACAAGGAATTTGACTTGATGTTTATGGTGCAGACAAATTCAATGTGGCTTGGGTTTTGCTTGAGGAGTGTTAATTTTTTCTTTTTTTTAAACGTAGGTAGAAATGGATAGCTAGGTTTTCTCTCAATAAGATATAATTGGAAGCTTGCTTTTTGTACTTCCTTAAATAAGCTTTAGCTTTAAGTGTGACAACAAAAAATGTTCAGCATACTATCAGGGTAGTCAGCATTTTCCATTTTCTTCAGCATATTTACAAATACTTTTTATAATAAAAGAAATACCAAACTAGAAAATATTCATTAGCATTTTTTAGCCGTGCAAGAAAGAAAACAAGAAAAAAATTAAATAAAGAAATTGAGTCATGATTAGAGCATCTGGATTAGCAGGTACAGCTTCTCTGTTAGCGTTGTTCTGGGACAGTGGGACCGTTTTGTGCTCCAGTCTATTAACATGTAATTTTGAGTCTTTGTATGCGAGCAGACCTAAAGCAGCAGCCATAGATCAGCTCTTTTGACACCAGAGAAGAGGATCGCCTATCACTGGCATACATGCTCTGAGCTCTTCCCAGTCGTTTCCACCCATTGGGACAAAAGCCCAATGTGGAGAGACTGAAAAGGGGGAGATGATAACCCTCCAAGGGGAAGAGCTAGGTTTTGAGGTTGTTGGAAAGGCTCATGCAGGGGATTAGTGTGAACGCAAGTGTGCTGTGTTTGTGTATAATCTTGCATACATGCAGGTGTGTGACTAAATCTGTGTTTGCTCCCGAATCTGTGTTCAGATGATCCTTGCATGCACACTTGTCTGAACAGCCTCTAGGAGCTGTTGACTGAGATGGGCTGATGTCAGGGTTTTGAAGGGAGGGGTTCTTTCACGCTCCACGCATGGACGACGGCGGATTAATTTCTCTTTCTGAGGGACAAGTCGATGAAGACGGGGAAGAAGAAGGGATTAAACGAGGTGAATTTTAAACTAAGACTTGTTTACAGAGTCACAGGGTATGTTGCCACAGGAAGGAGGATATACTCTACCTGTACACTGCAGAGAGATTAGGAGGGCTTCCA